GTATAAGTAGCTAAATATGCTAGTAGATGTAGCTAAGTATGTTAGTACAAGTAGTTAAATATGCTAGTAGATGTAGCTAAATATGCTAGTAGATGTAGCTAAGTATGTTAGTCCAAGTAGCTAAATATGCTAGTAGATGTATCTAAGTATGTTAGTATAAGTAGCTAAATATGCTAGTAGATGTAGCTAAATATTTTAGTAGATGTAGCTAAAAATGCTAGTAGATGTAGCTAAGTGTGTTAGTATAAGTAGCTAAATATGCTAGTAGATGTAGCTAAATATGTTAGTAGATATAGCTAAATATGCTAGCATAAGTAGCTAAATATGCTAGCATAAGTAGCTAAATATGCTAGCATAAGTAGCTAAATATGCTAGTAGATGTAGCTAAATATGCTAGTAGATGTAGCTAAATATGCTAGTAAAGCTACTTAAATATGCTAGTATAAGTAGCTAAATATGCTAGTAGAAGTAACTAAATTTTATTAGATGTAGATAAATATGCTAGTAGAAGTAGCTAAATATGCTAGTAGAAGTAACTAAATTTTATTAGATGTAGATAAATATGCTAGTAGAAGTAGCTAAATATGCTAGTAGATATAGCTAAATATATATTTTTTCCATTTACCCTTTATTTATCCAGGTAGTCTCATTGAGCCACGAGAACTCATTTTCAAGAGAGACCTGTTTAGGGAGCAGATGATGGGGGTTAAGGGCCTTGCTCATGGGCCCAAAGTGGGGCGAATGAGGGTGGAGGGAGGTGTGGGTGTTTCACCTTTTCCACCCACATTTTGATGTTGACGGTACCGGGAGGTGAACCTGCGACTTTCCGATCACAGGCCCATCTTCTAAACTCTGCGCTACCATTCCCCCATATGCTATAAATATGCTAGTATAAGTAGTTAAATACGCTAGTGGATGTAGCTAAATATGCTAGTAGAAGTAGCTAAATATGCTAGTAGATATAGATAAATATGCTAGTAGATGTAGTCTGCAGCCACTTCTTCAGCTCATCAGCAGGCAGCGGTATGATTATATTGTCCTGCTTGAGCTCTGACGGGTGGTGTTCCTACAAGTTTAAATTAAATCCACAATGATTGGAGGAACTACATTAGCTTGTACTTTTCGCACAGAAACTAATGCCGGTTCTGGTCCGAGCAAAAGTTGCGCCCATAATTCATTCAAGGCAGCATGGGGGCTAGGAATAAGGTGGATATGTTTTGCTCCAAGTCTAAATATAGAATAAAAACAATGTAATGAAGAGATGACCTGTCGAAGAGCTCCTCCACGTTCAGCTCCGGGTCATCATCCGCCATCCTCTCCACGAAGTCACTCCCTTGAGACGTCTCCTTGACAAACTGCAGAAGGCCCGGCGCCGGCGGCTGCAGTACAACGCCGATGTGAGGACGGCTGTTGGACTTCAGCTTCTCCACGGCGACGGCGTCCAGCGCCGCTTCTTCCGTCATGTAGGGAGACGCGGGGCCGTGGGGGTCTGTGTGTTTTGGGGGGGCAGACCTCAGCATGCTGATCTCTGGATCTCCAGGCCAGAAGGAGACCTGACTGACTCCAGCTGAAGGAGAGAACATTGTTAAGATGAAAAGGGACAATTCCAAACGTTCTTCCCTACTCACCATTGATGATCATCTTGAGACAAGTAGCGCAAGGCCTCCGGGAGAAGTGCAGCTGGCAGCCGGCCAGGCCGGCTCCGTGCTGGATGATGGCCACTTGTCCCGCATGGAGCTCAGCTTCCGAACAGTGGAGTCCCACCACCTTCCCTCCCTGCACCACCACCAGACCAATCCTACGGATCTGAAATGGGGTCTGGTCAGAGTTCTGCCACTGCTCACTGTCGTGAATGAAAGGTGACCGGGGAAACTTACTTGGCTGTTTTCAGCTTCCTCTTGTTGCTCCTGAGGGAACAACTCCATCCACAAGCTCAACAAGGTGAACAGGTTCACCTTTGACAACCTGGGGCCGTGCCCTGAGAGAACAATGGATTAAACATTTCTCAGCCACCGGACTAACCTGTTTAAATAAAGATTGAATGAATAAAAATGGGAAAAATTAATGAAGTGATGCCCAAAGGTTCAAACAGTGTTTCCCCTACCATTATACAAGCAGGGCGCCTCGCCCTGTCAACAGAACTGAACCCCGACACCCATCAACAACTGCAAGCGCTGACGTAGTGCTAAACTAGCGGTGCGCAATAGACGCATTAGCTAAGAATCGTCCCGTTGCCCTCACGCTGATCCGTCTCCCCCCAGAAGATATGAGCACCCTGCCAAGGCAAGCAAGCTAAGGGAAACACTGACAGCAATTAAATTATTTCAGCTACTTTAACATATTACCAGCGGTGGGCACAGTTCCTTTAATCCGCTAATGGCTAATAGCGGAACTAACATTTCGTTTAGCGGAGTAGCCTTTTCGCTAGCTTTGGAAACCATTAGCGGAATTAGCTTCCATTAAATCAGGTTTTGTCATCTTCAAGTCCAGTAACAGATTTTGTAAGCGTGTTTTTGTAAGTGGGCGTGTCTTAAAGAGTCACTATTGGCTGACTACGTGTCCACGTGACACGACGTGATTGGTTGACGCAGCTTCAACTGGAAGGAGACAAAGAAGAGCAATGCAGAGTGACAAGTTATCTTAGCGGTTAGCGTTTGTTTCCGTAATTTTTTTTTTTTACCTGTTTAGTGGTTTAGTGTTACCGATGCTAACTTTTTGGTTAGCTGTGCCCTCCCTGCATATAACCAACTACAGAAATTTCATTTCCAGTGAAAACTCGGGGTGAATGCTTATCGCTGATGACTTCTGCTGAAAGCTGCCTAAGAAGCTGAAACCAGCTGAAATGTTTTTTTTTTTTAACGCTAACTGTTAATGTGGATTGAATTTGACCAGCTGACGTGTGGAAAGCAGAAGAAAAATGGCCGAAATGTGTTGAAAAAGCTGAATGGCGAAAGAAAATGTTGCAGAAATGAGGCGGAAAAATTTGAAACAGCAGAGAGAAGGTGAATAAATTTCATAAAATCTGAAATAAGAAAAAAGTAACTAAAATGAGCAGAAAGAGGCTGAATAAATAACAAAAAAGGCTGAAGTTAGGAGTAAAAAACCCCTAAAAGGAGCATAAACAAGCTGCAAAAACCAGAACAAAAGCTGAAATGAGCAGAACAAGCTGAAAACAGCTAAAGCATAACAAAAGCTCAAAATATCCTGATGCATGCTCAATAATCCAGGTAGAAAAATCTTAAAAAGTTAAATCTGGTCCTCTGGACATTCAAAAAACCCCAAAACAAAGCAAATCAACAAAAAAATGTAGAAACGTTTCGTCTCTCATCCGAGAGACTTCTTCAGTCTGAGGTGCTGTTTTCAGCTCAGTCCCTTAAATAGCACCTTCTCAGGGTGGATCAACCAGTTTTGCTGCTGACAACCAAAACCAGCTGATCACATGCTCAAGAAGGACCATCAGCCTAACAATGGATCATTAGCACACTGATGGCTGTTTACTATTCACAGAGGGCTGAGTGATACTAGCAATCACAGCATTGTAAGAGGGGGACAGTTGAACCCGGAGGCCTCCACCCCTGTTTAATGATGGACGATTTCTTTTCACAAAGATGGCCTCCTTTACTCCTCTCTCAAACCATCGTTCCTCTCTATCCAGGATGTGAACATCTTCATCCCTGAAAGAGTGACTGCTGGCCTGGAGATGAGTGTAGACTGCAGAGTCCTGGCCTGATGATGTTGATCTTCTGTGCTGGTCCATCCTTTTGGCCAGTGGCTGTTTAGTTTCCCCGATGTAAGACTGATCACCCTCCTGACACTGAACAGCATACACAACATTACTCTGTTTGTGCCGGGGGACTGGATCTTTGGGATAAACCAGTCTTTGCCGTAATGTATTTTGGGGTTTAAAAGCCTCTGGGATGTTATGTTTAGAAAATAAACGTCTCAGTTTCTCTGATACTCCCTCAACATACGGAATGACCACTGGTCTGGGTCTGGGTTCCTCCTTTTCACCTGATGGCTGACTGGAGTCCTGTTTGGGTTTCTTCTCTGCTTTCAGGAAGGCCCAGTTAGGATATCCACATTGCTCTAGAGCCTGTTTTGTGTGGGATTTCTCCTTCTGCCTGGCTCCTGAGCTAGTGGGGACACTGTCTGCTCTGTGATACAGAGTCCTGATGACTCCTAACTTGTGCTCCAAAGGGTGATGGGAGTCAAACTGCAAATACTGGTCTGTGTGGGTGGGTTTGCGGTACACCTCAGTTTGCAAATGTCCTCTATCAGACCCAGACCAGTGGTCATTCCATATGATGAGGGAGTATCAGAGAAACTGAGACGTTTATTTTCTAAACATAACGTCCCAGTGGCTTTTAAACCCCAAAATACATTACGGCAAAGACTGGTTCATCCCAAAGATCCAGAGTAATGTTGTGTATGCTGTTCAGTGTCAGGAGGGTGATCAGTCTTACATCAGGGAAACTAAACAGCCACTGGCCAAAAGGATGGACCAGCACAGAAGATCAACATCATCAGGCCAGGACTCTGCAGTCTACACTCATCTACAGGCCAGCGGTCACTCTTTCAGGGATGAAGATGTTCACATCCTGGACAGAGAGGAACGATTGTTTGAGAGAGGAGTAAAGGAGGCCATCTTTGTGAAAAGAAACCGTCCATCATTAAACAGGGGTGGAGGCCTCCGGGTTCAATTGTCCCCCTCTTACAATGCTGTGATTGCTAGTATCACTCAGCCCTCTGTGAGTAGTAAACAGCCATCAGTGTGCTAATGATCCATTGTTAGGCTGATGGTCCTTCTTGATCATGTGATCAGTTGGTTTTGGTTGTCAGCAGCAAACTGGTTGATCCACTCTGAGACGGTGCTATTTAAGAGACTGAGCTGAAAACAGCACCTCAGACTGAAGAAGTCTCTTGGATGAGAGACAAAACGTTTCTAGAATTTTTTGTTGTTTTGATTTGTTTTGTTTTTTTGAATGTCCAGAGGACCAGATTTTTTTTTAGATAACAAAAGCTAAAATGAGCAGAACAATCTGAAAACAGCTACAGCAGAACTAAAGCTAAAATGAGCAGAACAAGCTGAAAACAGCTAAAGCAGAACAAAAGCTAAAATGAGCAGAACAAGCTGAA